CCAGGTATTGTGCAAGGTCCTCCTGGTTTCCAGCTTCCAAATGGCTCTCATGACCCTAGTCAAATAGACCTCTGAGTCTTCATGTTCTCCAAGTCCTTGTTCAGCAGCTGCTCCTCCGCTGACTCTGGACCTTTCTGGTTATCAATGGCCGGGACAAGAGCAACCCGTTGTGTGGCATGTATTCCCAGGGGTTTCTCCATGTTGGGATGACTCACGCATGTCCCAGGGTGGGCTTCCCCGGGTGGGCATCCGTGGGTGGCAGGCCAATTGTGTCATTGCTTCTCTGTGCCATGATAGTTCTTGACCACACAGTGGTGGCTGGCCTAAGGGCCAGCGCGCGCTGCCACGTGGCTTCCCAGGCGCCAACTGCCCACCTCCCTGGTTCCTGCATGGCTAGGGGCCGGCCCAAAGGCCTGCACTCCCCACTGCGTGGCTTCCTGGGCACAGGCAGCCCGCCTCCCGGGTGCCTGTGCTGCTAGGGTCCAGCCCAAAGGCCGGTGCTCCCTGCCGCGCGGCTTCCCAGGCACCAACTGCCCACCTCCTGGGCACCTGTGTGGCTAGGGTCCGGCCCAAAGGCTGGCACTCCCTGCTGTGTGGCTTCCCAGGCACCAACTGCCCGCCTCCTGGGCGCCTGTGCTGCTAGGGACTGACCCAAAGGCCGGCACTTCCCACTGCGCGGCTTCCCAGGAGGGAGCTGACTGCCCGTCTCCTGGGTGCCTGGGTGGCTAGGGGCCAGCCCAAAGGCCGGCGCTTCCCACCGTGTGGCTTCTTGGGCGCCTGTGCAGCTAGGGTCCCGCCCAAAGGCTGGCATTCCCCGCCACGCAGCTTCCTGAGCATCGACTGCCTACCTTATTCTTAAATTTAAAAAAGATTGTGTGCTGTTAAATTGGAATACCCAGAAAAAAATACCATAATTCCAAACAAATTTAAGAAGTTTTAAAGGCTATTTCTTGACTGCCATCAGTAAATCTACCTTTTATAAAGAATAAATCTTTGTCATACAAAAGGTAAGTTACTTAATGAGTTTGTCTTCAATCTCCTTCAAATGTATTATTATTTTTCTAGTATTATTTTTCTTTTAAATAAACCAGTAAAATAAATGTAGACAAGTTAGTGTAAAGGATAGGAAATGACTGATAATCTTTCCTTTCTCTTTTTGTGCTTTTGTTGAGCATGTATAAATATTTTGTTTGTTTGGTTTTAGCTTTGTTTCTTTTAGTATGTGTTTTTATTTTCTCAGCTCTTTTTATTTCTTTATAGCCTGTAATTTCTCTTAGAACTAAAGTTTCACTCTTATTTGCTTCTATGAGTTCTCTTCTGTCATTTATTTTCTTTAGAATGTGTAGTAAACCCATGGGAAATTATCCATTCAGCATTGTGTTATGTGAACCTTATGGTAGCCTCTTGTAATGCAAATAAATTATCACCATCTATAAAGCAATATTTTGCTTAAAATGTAGAATTAGTATTGTAATGTTGAAAGAAACATTGACTATAAGCTCCAAAGATGAATCTGATTGATACTGATGACAAACTTGTGTTTGACCTACCAAAAACCTGGTTTCCTCTAATATTAGATACTAATGAAAACCTGGGAGGTAAAGTATTGTTACATCAAGCTTCTCCCTTTTTGCTCCTTTAGGTATGAACGTTCTAGCTGCCTAAGCCCTATCTGTCCTTCCTTGACAGTTCAAAATTACTTTATTTGTCACACACAGCGGCACATGCTTGTAATCTTACGTACTAGGGAGGCTGAAGCAGAAAGATTGCAAGTTCAAGGCCAGCCTGGACAACTGTGGCTGTAGCTCAGTGGTAGAGCACTCGTAGGTTCAATCCCCAGTACTGCACCCCTTTAAAAAAGTTTTATTCCTTCTTTTCATAACAATTTATTTCCCCCATTAAGTGACCTACTTAATATAGTAGGGATATAGTTTTTGGTGTAGTTTATCATAAACAGTTAATGATTATGGAATGTCTCATTCTTTTTATCGTCAGTCTGTATATTTCATTATTTGGCAGTGCAAGTTTCTTTTAGGCAGCATATCGCTGAGTGTTGTTTTTTTTAATGTGTTCAACCAATCTGTCTCTAAAAAGACCATTTCTGAAGATATTTTTCTGTAGTCTTTCCTTTATTCTATTGGGCTTAGTCACTAATAAAAATAAAGATAGCCATCAATGTAAATATTGTAGTATTTTATTATGCAGTTCTCAAAAGCTGAAGAGGATAAGATTGTTTGTCTACTGCCTGACTGGTCTCAAACCAAGGCTTTGAAATTAACAGCCTATCAGGAGCCATACTGTGTACATGATAGAATGCCTGCTTCTTAGACTTGTTCTTTTCAGTCTATTGCATCTAGTACTCAGTGGGCTAAGTTAGCTGCTTAGAATCAGTGTGTAAAGTGAAGGTAAGTAAACTTTGTGTATAGTTACTCATAAACTTTTATGTTTGAACTTAACGACTTCTACTGAGGCTAAGTTTAAAAAGTCCCCACACCCCTTGGCAGTTAAGTGGGTGCTCATAACAGATGGTACAGATCTCTTATCCAAAGTCTTCCCTCTGATGGAGACATTATTGTTCTAATTTACTTGTAATAAGGTAGGACACTACTATAAAGAATGACTTATTTCCTTAGAACCTCTTTTTAGGAATAAAAAGTCTCTTTTAAACTGTGGACAACATAAAATCAAAATGAAAGTCATTATCTTAAATTTCTTTCACATTTAGATACCCCATAAAAATTTCTATACATTGTTTTAAGAAATCATTATTAAAGAGTTTTAGTATGTAACAAAAGATATAAAGTATAATACCAGCAACTTTTATGATACAGACCTTAAATCCAAAGACACTTTCTATATACTGTGCCTTTCACTCCATCCAGTTCTGTACACCTTTTTACTTGAAATCTTTTTTTAAAAATGTGTCTATTAAAAATAAGATTGAAGCCAGGCATGAAGGCGCACACCTGTAATCCCAGCACTTGGGAGGCTGAGGCAGGAGGATCGTTGCAAGTTCGAGACCAACCTGGGCTACAAAGTGAGCTCAAGGCCAACCTGAACTGCACAGTGAGACCCTGTCTCAAAAAGACAAAAAAAAGATTGTAAATATTTCTTTAGGTGAACAGATCTGTTTTTAGTATAATAAAATCTTGTACTCCCAAAGCAGTGAATACCATTGTATATGTATTTTCTGTGTTAGAAATAATTAAATTGTGATTTTTGATAGCTTTTGTTTTATTTTTAGTTTCTATGCCTTTGCATATGTCAACCTGGGTTATAATGAAGAACATTGTTGCTAAAAATGGATTTTCTGGATTATTTGCAGGTAAAAACGTGCTTTACTGATCATTGAATAGAATGATTAGTTTTAAATCTATGACCTTGTAAAATTAACTTTCAGGAGAAAGTTACAGGTAACATTTTAAATATCTTTGCTATAAGTAAAATATTTTTGTTAAAGTAAATGTCTTTGCTATAAGTAAATAGCTAAATATCTTTGCTATAAGTAACTATCTTTGCTCTACATAAAAAGAACTGCTAGTCAGGTGTGGTGGTGCATGCCTGTAATCCATTGGAGGCTGAGGCAGAAGGCTTGCTGTGTGTTTAAGACCTGCCTGAACTACATGGCTCGGGAGACCTTATCCCCCCCCCCCCAAAAAAAAAGAAAAGTAAAGTAAAGAAAAAAAGAGCAAAAGAAATGCTAAATAACGTAGATTTACTTTCAGATAAAGTTTCCGTTTCACTAGCAGTCAAGAAGAGAAGTTGGAGGGGCTGGGGATTTAGCGCAGTTGCAATGCGCCTTCGTGTTAAGCGCAAGGTCGTGAGTTCGGTTCCTGGTACCGGAGAAAAACCAAAAACCAAAAAAAAAAAAAAAAAAAAAAAAGAAAAGTTGGGAGTAAGTAGTCTGACCTCTTCGCTATCCATTCATGGTACAGAATTTTATGTATCACTTCATTCAATTTGTTCACTTTACGAATGGAGCCAGGTACGTTGTATTTTTAAAAAAATAGGTAACATTTGTTCTTCTTCCCATTCTCTTTAGGTCTGGTTCCTCGCTTAATTAAAATTGCTCCTGCTTGTGCCATTATGATCAGTACCTATGAATTTGGAAAGGCTTTTTTCCAGAGACAAAATGTTCAGAGGCAGCAGTTCTAGTGATACAGTTTCATCCTGGAAGAACCACAGCAAGAGCTTTTTAACTGTTACTCTGTTAAAATATTTTATTTCTTTCTCTCCTATAATTTAAATGAACAGCAATTTCTATTCTACCTCAAAATCATAATCTTAGTTTTAAAATAAAAATGTACTTATTTTTGGAGGTTTAAAAAAATATTGCAGAAATCACAAGTATTTTGTTTTCTTGTCAGCAAAAGAAATACTATTGCTTAGCATCAGAAGCACTCTGAGTTTGATTTCAGTGTAGCTTAGTCTGTCAGATAAAAAATCTTTTGAATTGTACTTGATAATGTCTCGAAGAAAAATGGTCAAGGTTTATGCACATTTAAATCATGTACATAGATACTTCAGAAACGGAGATAATAGAAGGTAGTCGTTTAATAGCCTTTGTCACATTTGTCTGGTATCACCTCATAATTTCTTTAATTCACATGCACTAGTTTTTCCTTCCACATTGCTATCTCAAGGACTCATATGTACTACAGTTTCTCTGATTAAAGTATAGATACTTTATTTGTCTGATATAAAATATAATCATTTGTATGATACAGATCTTAACATGTTTGGTGAATAAAAAACGCATACTTACTGTTCCTGTTTGAAGAGGGAGGTTTTACTGATTGGAGCGAATGCTCACTCAGACGTGGGGCTGCTGCGGAAACCACGCTGCAGTTCCACTGTAACCGAAATCCTTTGGACTTTAGTCCATGTACAGTGCAAGTGGCATCGTTCAGGAGGTTCTCTAGGTCATTTCTGTTGATTTTTTTCTAACAATATGGAAATCATCACAGCTTCTCATCATGAGCTTCTCTAATCTGAAAATCTAAAATCTGAAGTGTTCCAAAACCTGAAGCTTTTTGAGCATTGACACCGCAAGAGGAAAATTCTACACCTGACCTCACGTGATAAGGGTTGCAGTCAAAATGCACACACACTAAATAAATTCGTAAGATTCCTTTCAGGCCATGTGTATAACTTCAGTGAACTTTTTATTTAGACTTGCATCCCTTCCCTAAGATTTCACTATAGACATGCAAATATTCCAAAATCTGGGGGAAGAAAAGGGATGTTAAAACTTTTTTTGTCCTAAGCATTTTGGAGAATTGTCCTAAATTTGGAGTATTCGGAGAATACCGAATCTGTACTGTGATAAAAGTCACAAAATATTTTCAGAATGTCTTGATTTACAGTATCACATTAATATGATAGGCCTAGGGACTAAAGAAGAAGCTGAAATTATACATGATTAAAGAATTTAGCTTAACGCAATTTGTAGGAGTGAGATTTTAAAAAGGATCTGAATGGTCTGGGAATGGAGGTCAGTCATCATACTCACTTAGGATGAGCAGAGCCCAGGGACCGATCCCTGGCTCTAGCGTCTCTCCCCGCAGCAGGGTAAGATACGGTGTTCTTAATGTTTTTGCTTGATTTTCATAGGACCTCGCTTACATGAAAAAGAACTTTACTGTATTCAACTTACATTGTATGAAAATGTGAAGCATTTCCCCCCACTAAAATATAGTGATGTATTTTGGCAACAGATCTTCTGTAGTGTTGGTAGGGGAATTAATGCATTTTTGTATTGTAGTAGAAGAGTATTTATGTTTCATGAGAAATAAACTATATAGAATTTGTATGTAACCTTTTATGTTTATTTTATCCTGTTGATTTACCTTAAATTTACTGTTCACATAGCCATATAAATTTAAATATTCATGATATTCTTATATTTTTATTAAAGTACTTCATGCTTTAAATTATCACTGCACTTGTAATTAGTTTTCAATAAAATCATATAATGCCATACTTTATATAATTGGAAAGTTATTTTTAGTACTGCTGTGTGACGTTATTACATTTACCTTTGTTTTGCTATGCTTTTCAACAATTTATTAATGTTAAAAGGAAAAAATAGTATTGGGCTCTCAAATAGTGTCAGTGGTGTGTCACGTACTTTAAATGTCACTTATGAATATCAAAAAACTTTCCATTTCGGGGCTGGGGATTTAGCTCAGCGGCAAAGTGCCTGCCTGGCAAGCGCAAGGTTGTGAGTTCGGTTCCCAGTACCAGAGAAAAACCAAAACAAAACAAAACAAAAAAAAAAACTTTCCGTTTCCCAAACACCAGTATTACTTGAAGAAAATTCTTAATTATAAGTAAGTTAAATAAATGTAATTCCCTAGTGGTTTTTCTATCACATATTATAAATAATGTATCTGAACGATGGAAAGCTAAATTGGAGTTTTCTGTACTGTCAGTCCCTGACTTATGAACATTTGAATTGTGAACTTTCACAACTGTCCTGTATAGACTCACTTTCTCAGATTATGAAGCAAGCACTTAGGAACGTTCTCCTGGAATGGAAGTCATTTGTAAGTCTGGACTTACTGTGTACATAAGTGGTGAGAAGCATTAATACTTTCAAAGACATTAGCAACAAAAAAGGTTTGCTAGAAATTATTTTAGCATTTTGCCTTAGTTAGTAATTGTATTTTGTTGTCAAAAGAATACCTGGATAAAACTTAGTCCATGAAATAGCTAGGATAATTAATGTTAATTTTAAAGTTCTGTCTCAGAAATATTATTGGCAGTAATGCATATCCTCAGCTTCACATCACATCAGTACTTTTGAGCCATAGAGCCTCCTGGTCTTTAATTCATATGTAAGTAGGAATCGCAGTATTTGCAGATCATAGGGAGGTGGACTGTGGGAATGGGCAGGAGGGCAGGAGGGCAGGAGGGACGTGCAGATGATTTAGATGTCATCTGTGGATGTCCCAGTTCCCCAAGGTGAATGTAGTTATTATGTATCACAAACATAAGAAAGGAAACTTAAAATAAAAAGTAATGTGATGTTTCTAAAGTAAACAGTTCTGTAATATTTAAATTTTATAACATTTAATTACTTAAAAATTTTAAGTATCTTGAACATTCAAATATTGAATGAAGCTTCAGTACATATAAGCTTTTAAAAAGTTGGTGTGAAGTTAAAATTAATATTTTTTAGAACATTTTTACTTTGCTTAGTCAACTGCATGAGAGTCCTTTAAATTCTTTTTTTCTGTATACAAATGTTAGGAATATGGGTAAATTTAGATTAGTGTGTTAAATTATTTTCCAAAATTAATATTTAAAATATAAAGAGCATTTTTTGAGATCTTTTCTGTGGCAGGCAGAGTATAGCATACTGAAGAAGATATTTTGGGTCTTACAACTGGTCACAGGAGGTTTCATAACTGATTGGTAGAAGTATGCAAAGGGAATTATGGGAACTTCGAGGAGCTCTTCATCATGGAGGCAGAGAGAGAGTTGTCAAGATATTTAAGGTTAGGACTGACAGGGCAGCCTAGTTAAACATGGAAGGACTCTCGATAAAGCCATGGGATTTTTTTCCCTGTGGCTTGAGCAAAGTGTATACATGGGGATGGCGGGGGAGGGATGAGACTGGAAATGCGGTCAGAGAGCTGGTATGTCAAAGGGGAACAAGGCCATAGGAAATCAAGGAAGGACTTTCCACTAAGCTGTCAGTCAGTCTTGGATTTGGAAAGATAATTGACAGTATGGAAAATAGGGCTTATAAAATAACCTTTTAAGAACAATGTAAACATTATGGTTTATATTACAATGAACTTCTAAAATGTGCCACAATGACTAAGATATAATGCTATCTTCCCCCTCATATAACCTGAAAAGAAATGCTAAAGCTAAGTACACACGCTGGCTTGGTCAGAAGAACAAAGTAAACCAAATGATTTTTTTTTTCAGAGCCCTGAGGTTCACAGCAGGCTCATGACACTTGCGGTAATGTGATGTTGGTTTAGCAAAATACGGACATTTTATGTATTGATAGAAACTTTAACAAAGGCCTCTCACAAGGCATAAATTTGAGATCACTTATGATTACTTAAAAACATAAAAATGATGTAAATAAAAACTGACTTGGCCTGCTTTTTATGTCTGCCAACCATAATTCGTACTAGCTCGCCTTTGTCACCTCTTTAGAACTTGTGAAAGTTGTCAGTCAAATGAGTAGCTTGACAAAAGAATGAAGAAAGCTGGGAGGTTACAAAGGATTCTCACACACTGTTCACTAGTAACTGTCACGAAGGCGTTTCAGAATCACAACCTTCTACAAAAAAAATGCTGCTGCAAGGACAGCTGCCCAGCAACTGTGTCCTCAACCTCAGACTACTGTCGTCCTTGTGGCCAACGATAGTTGTTTTGAAGTACCATGCTCATTTTCCTTTCACAACTTTTGTAGGAGAAGCTGAAACCGTTCTAAGATGTTGAAAAAGCTAAGAACACTCACACTACTATTTCAGCATAATTCTGGGAGTCCTAGCCAGAGCAGTCAGGCAAGAGTGAGAAAGAATGTCAGTCAAGAGACATGGGAAACACAAGAAGTACGAGCCTGCTTCTGGCTTAACAGGTACTGTTTGCAGTAAAATCTTTACAGGTAGAAGTACACTAATTGTGCTATACTTCTACAGGAGTAGGATCGCAGTAGGTTTGTTTTTATCAGCATCACCACAAACATATTAATAATACACTGGCGAATGTAAACCAAAACACCTGAGACCAAGGGGATCTCTGAAATAAAAGGGGCTATTGTGCTCTTAAAGATGCTAGCCAGAAGAAGGACCAGATCCCAAGACAAGTTTCCAGTCACCAGCAGCAAGGGTTGAGGGAGTTTGGGAAAGTGTTGACTAGGCCTAGAGGGAAGAGTACTTTCATAACAAGGTTTAGGGAAGCATAAATTGAGTTTACTGACTACAGGTGAAAAGAGTGGTGTGAAGCAAAGTAGAGAAAGCTTTGCGAGAGGAGGGAAGGCCATCAGAAGAAGGAACTGTTGCTTCTGCACTGGTGGGGGTTGACAGTCTGGAAAGTTTGTAAGTAAGTGGGGTGTGGTGGTCCTAATGGTCAGCCAGAATTTAAATCAAAGTTCTACCATACCTGTAGGAGTATGTAAGTTACTTCTTTTTTTGTGGGGGAGGGGACTGCCTGCAAGCTTTTAAAAAGTAAAATTTCATAAGAGAATGGCAGTTAATACATTGTGTATCATCTCAAGTTGTTATTCACAGTACAATATTGAAAATACAATATTCAGACAAGACAAAAAGATTCATAAAGAAACTGAAATTCCTAGATGAATCTTTTTTCTTTACAATATCATGTATTAAACTTACAATAGCTCAGTAGTTTTTTGGTTTTTCTCCGGTACCGGGAACCGAACTCACGATCTTGCGCTTGCCAGGCAGGCGCTTTGCCAGTCAGCTAAATCCCCAGCCCCAAGCTCAGTAGTTTTTAAAAAAATCTTTTCCCCTTTTCATTGAAATGTTTTTATAAAAAGTATTACTGATGAATGTTTTCAAAATCGTTTTTGATTAACACTTCTAAGTTGAGACTGTATACAAGTTGCTAGAAAGGTGCTATGGTTTGTGTCTAGATGCCCCCCAAACCCTCATGCTGTCATGGGGGGCAGGCTTTTCAGAGGTAGCTGAATCTACAGCTTGTGATTGATTCATGGTCAAAAGCTGGGATTAGGGGTGTGAGTGCTACACCTGTCCCAGGGCAGGTAGCCTGCATACAATATAAGGGACAGAAAGACACTTGTCTCTTCTCTCTTGTTGCTTTTGCTGTCTTCTGTCACCATGAACTGTTGCTCCCCCCTCCACATGCCACCCTTAGAGCCAGCTGCTTATGAGTATTTGTGAACTGTGAGCTAAATAGACCTTTTCTCCCTTGAACTTGGATGTGCAAAGATTCTTTATGAGAATCTTTTTGTCTCAGCAAAGAGAAAAGTACCTAAGGCAGAAAGCTTACTCCTGGAAGGTCATGTCCCACAGAGGAGGGAAACTATAAGTAATGATAGTGAAAAAAATTTTAACCCATTTATGGGCAATAAGAGGGTGGCTAGAGCTGGGGATATAGTTCAGTGACAGAAGTGCTTGCCTGGCAAGTGCAAGGTCCTGAGTTCAATTCCCGGAACCAAAAAAAAACAAAAAAAAAAACCACCTGAGGGTAGCTAAAGAGGGAGAAAGATGGAGTAGTCACCTTATCACCATCCAGAAACTTCAATGTTTTATCTAGATAGTGGCTGCTTCTAAAAAGTTGTAGGTAGCTAGTTCAATCTTTTGAATATGTACAACTTTGGGTTTTCTTGGGCAGCAGTACTTTTAGCAGTGTCTTCTATTTGACCATTGATGGCAGAGTGTTTTCTGATCGTTATCACTGGTCACCTAAACATCAGCACTAGGAATAAAAAATCCAATTCTACTTTGCCTTGATCATCTTGATAACCTACCAGCATGTTCCTCTTGTTTCATTTGATGGAGTCTGAATTTTTATGTAAAGAAGGGACTAATAAAATGTGCTAAGACCAGTCTTGTGAGACCACTGTCATGTATTTTGGTTATCACTGACTGGAATGTTATGTGGTACATTAATGTATTTATAAAAGTAAAGATTATTTAAGTTGAAATAGGGTTTATCTAAAGCTTTCATATTAGTCTCTTAGATGTGAACATTTACCACATTAGTTGAAACAAAAGTTTAGTGTACAATTTCAATCAGGTAACTTTTGGTCAAGGAAAGAAGACCATTACTTCATGGTACAAAATCTTTAATATACATGCAACAAGTGTAGTACATCAAGGCAACAAAATACACGTGGAAATATCAACATATTTTCAGCATTCTTTTGGGGGGGGGTTGTAAAAATAAACACTACCATCTAAAATGAAAGACTGAGACATACATTGTTTCCTCATGCAAACATTTACAAACTACTTACAACTAGTGTGAAATAAACTGTAGAAATCGGAATTTCACAACAGCAGGTGAATTTTACAGTGGAATCTCCCAAGAAAGGAAAAGTCATGGTCCTCAGATGTCATGTTCAAATCTGCGTTTGGCAGCACATTAAGATGCACAAATTACTGTTTCCATTAGCTAAGTCTGAAAAACTACCAATTAGTAATCTTGAATTTCCTTATACATTATAAAAATGTAGGGAAACATTTGACAGTTTTAGTTTACTAAGGGAAGTATCAGCTGAGTATGAATCATGGATAGTAAGTCATTTCAACATCCTGATACTTTTTAGGAAACAGCAGTCGTGCCCAGGGCCAGCCAAAGTCCCCCAAGTTCCCCTCCTCCTCCATTTCCTCACTCCATCCTCCCAGAGTCTCTCCCATCTTCATTTGATGCCTGCCTTCCACCTCCCATGCAGACTAAAAACTGCTTTGGGTATCTCATTCTTAATGCGGTGTACAGAACTGAGAATAGATTAAAGTTAAAGGTGCCATTTCTCAGGAATATTGCATTTCTACAAGTGTTACAGCCTTAAACAAAAAGAAGAAAGCTCTGAGAATGCTCTGGCATGTCTAAGACAACTCCAGGGCTTCCCGTCCTCCTCTGTCGCTGAAATGACTGGCAGACTGTCTCCCGTGTAAGACTGTCCTTCCAATTTTATATTCTGGGTTACGATACTGAGCTCTACTACACAGAACCATCACACACCTACATTTCTAAAACAAAGAATGAATGTGGTAAATTCGGCTCTTATAAAAAACTTTTAGGAGGAACATTCTTCATGTATGTCAAAGCTACTTTATTTGAATGCAATGTTTTATTAATAAACAAAAATAACATGAAGTTCCCAGTAAGTATTGTGGCCTCTTCATATAAACATATAAAATTTCTTTGGCACAACTAACCATATTTTCTTCATATTACTTACTATAGAAAATATACTTCATTTATTTTCATTTTCAATATGGTGGAATTTTTAGGGACAAATGTAACTCAAAACTTGCAAAAAGATAAAAAACTACCTGCAGAAATGTAGGGATTTTTAAACATTAACATCCGTGTTAACATGACATTATGGCATAGCGATAGAGGCTGCAGAACACACAGGTCACGATTCATTGTTGCACATGGGGGGGGAGGAACAGCATTGTTTATCAAACATATTTGTTAGGTACAGTGGTCACCCTGGATGTGTGTGTTCAAAATCTTCTCAAATTCTTCATTGAACTTGAATCTCTCTGATGTAACCCCTTTTTAACATTGGTTATTCTATATTTGGAAATGGTGCCAACTTTTCAGGCCTACCTGATCACATTTTAAAATTGAGAATCTTTAAAGAAAATCTTGAGAAAACAAAGACAAGTATATAAAATACTTTCCCTATGACCTTTACAAATAAGTTAGTAACTGCCTAAAAAGGCACATTCCTACAAAATGTATAAAATGTGAAGTGGAATGTTCAGTTGGTACGAAATGATAAGAGCTAAAGAAAAACTGAGCGTCCAGAAGTCAAGCTCAGTGGTAGAGTGCTTGCTCAGCATGCACAAGGCTGTGGGTACAAGAACACTGAAAGTGCGCTGTGGAATCGCAACTAAGAACTTTTCTTGACACGAAAGTACGGCATTTAAACATCAGAATGTAGGAAATAAAAAAAGTGAAATTAGTTGCCTTCTTTTGGAACATTAATCATCAAAGGAGGAAAAAACAGTAGCTTAAGTCTCTGGAATAAACATACATAAAAATCTGCTGAATAATAATGTACAATTTGCAATGAACTTTTAATTTGGAGAATCTCCGAAAGGTTTGAAAAACCTATACAATTTAAAACCTCCTCAATGAGAAATACAAGTTTGTTGTTTTTTTTTTGTGAGAAATGGCAGGATTACTACGTTCTTTCCTTATAAGTTTATGTGGAGTACTGAATTCCCTAAGCGGTAGAATTCCAGACATGTACCAGAACAATACTGTATAAAACTTCGAAGTTCTCCCCTGCAGCCAAACTTAGGTAAATTGGACATTTACAATTTTGAAACTTCAGGCCTCTCCATAAAGTTTTTCAAGATGGAGTTAGGCCTGGACTTGTTATCTCTGTTGTAGGACTTGGAAGACAGTCATTGGATTTTAGGCTTGTTAGAGATTTGTAACTTGCTACTGATGTCAGTGACCCACAGAGACCAAGTAACGAAGGGGTATCTTCTTTACCTGAAAATAAGGATAAAGGAGTAAGTTAATAACCTTTAGGAATCATACCAGTAAGATCATAAAACCATTACAAATTTCCCTAATTTATAAGACAAAATATATCTTAACTATGAAAGTCAAAGATCTATGTCTAAACACATTTGATGTTTCAACTGGTTCACCATCACGCTTAAAATACTGTACAAGATTAGTTTTGCTTTCATTAAACTTCTAGATGTCGAAGTTTAAAGACAAAATGCTATAGAGCCAAATTAAGTCTACCTTGTTTTGGAGAACGTGTTCATGTTCAGTTGGTTGGTAAAGTATAATAAAGTCCAAGCCAAGTACTGTAACAGCAGCAGCGATCAGGTCAGAGAAACACAGGAAATCCATACTTTGGTTAAGTGATGGATTAGAAACAGACTGATCTGGTCAGACTGAACTTCCCAACTTAATAGGAGGGCTAGACTTTAGGAGACTTTACTCCTGTATTGACTTTATTCAGTATCTTTTATGCACCAGGACCTTTTAAGTGCTGGACTTCAATAGAACCATGGTAAAACAAGTTCTTTCCAGAGCTAAATTTCAACCCACACCATATATGTCTAGCTTTAAGTGGCTGGCTTTGGGCTGTAAAATTAAACATCTACAATTAGCAAGTTTCCAAAGACGATGAAAAACTCAGGCTTTACTCATGTAGTTACAGAACTATAAACTGAGCTAGACATTAGATGTTTTGGAATATTATGTATTACTTTAAATAGTCCCACAGAAGGGTTCTCTCAGTTCACTGTATTTACTTTACCATATGGTCACATGGTATAATAACTGCAGGGATTATGTATCTTTTAGTAGATTATAAATTCTTTGAGAAGGGACATAGACTTTGTATGTTTATTATTGTATTTCCACTGCCTAACAAATAGTAGGTGCTCATTAAATAACAAATGAAAGATGATTTACAAGAATCATAGTAGGACTCAGTCTAGCACCTATGTCCTTTGTAGCTGTGTGACCTCAGTCAAGGCATCAGCTCTGAGCTTTCCTTTGTAAAATGGCAACACAGAAAGATGACTGGCCACGCTGACTACAAAATACAGGAAACAGAACAGGGTTAGGAAAAGCTATGGATCAGTAATTATTACACTCACATTTTAAATGTTTATCATATGCAGTATTAGAATAAAAGGTGTAATATTGTAAGCACCTCCTTCTGTTTCAGGCCAAAATTAGCTCTGTTGCTAAACGCTCCAGGAATCAATTTGGATAGTCTCACCAAATTTGTACTTCATTATTGACCCTTTCAAAGTGACTTATGGCTAATTAAGTATACACACTTACACAATCATCTTTATTGTGAGGTATATTGTATACACACATACATATCTCACGTGGTTTAGTATTTTAACCACTTTATACACTTTACATGTACAGTTCAGTGCCATTAATTACATTCATATTACTGGGCAACCATAATCATATCTGAAATTTTTCATCACCCTAAAACTTTTTCTCAAAATATTGTTCCGTTTCCAGAGAGCCTTCATGTCCATTGTAGGTGTAAAGCTTTCTGGCACTGTTGTATGATGAATGACACCGTGTCTGTGACCCTTGAGAGACAGAAGAGACGAGGTGCAGTTACTATCTGTGTTCCCCTTTCACACACAGTAATTTTCGCCCCACAGCGTGTCTGTCCCAGCATGTAACGAAGAAGAATGCACAGGACATGATGAGAGCTCTCCAAAGTGAGTCCATTTTCAGTTTAATGTTCCTATTAAATAACAAGGGACCCTGCCCACTGAATTTGCCTTAAAAAGTATTAATTTTTGACTGAAATGCAATGTTTTAAATTCCTGCCCAAAGGGAAACAGACCACTAGTTATGGACAAAACCTTCTGGATTTGCCCCTCCACAGAAATGAAGAAGCCCAAATTTTCTGGGACACTTGCAGATAAAAAAGAAATCACCTAACGGTGAAACCAGAATAATAATTAGTGTCTTTTTTTTTCCTGAGACAGAGTCTCACTATGTAGTACATGCTGGCCTTGAACTTGTGATCCTCCTGCCTATTTAGTCTAGAAAACAAAGAGGCTAAACATGGTATCTTAAAATTTCAAACGTACCTTCATTTTGCAGGTATCCAATATAAGCTGGGCATGGTGGTTCACTCCTGTAACCCCAGCACTCAGGGTGGCTGAGACAGGAGGATTGCAGGCTTGAGCCCAGCATGGACAACTGAATGAACTAGTGAGACTCTGTCTCAAAATAAAAAATTCTAGAAAAGGGATATGGCTCAATATAAAGATTCTGGGTGCAATTCCTAGTACTGCAAAAGTAAAAAGCAGAAAGTCTGCAGTGCTGCCCAGAGAAGGCTCCTCCTGCTGTGCAAGTGCTAACAACCGTTCCCAGCACCAGCGTGGATGACAGCAATTACTGTTTAGTAATAACTCACTGCAGACAGCCCCATGTTAAGGCTTTACATGAATCACCTCACTTAATTCTTAATACCCTCCTAACTAAGACTTGTGAGCGTCTTCAGTTTTGGAGAGAAGGATAAATGTGTGAAGAAAAGGACCCTAACTCATTAAGGACTGAAATGAAATTCCCCAAATTCAGAGACTGCATTCTTGGTAATACTCTTGTGCAGAAGAGAACCGCTAAAGCCTTTTACATAAGGGAATTACTTGTTTTTTTTTTTTAAATATTTAGGGGCTCTATGAAACATTTTGAAGAAAACAAAAATGAAGGTAGAGGAACAAGAAAGCAAGCCGCGGCAGCTGTGTGAACCGGGTGAATAGTAAAACAGTTACAGAGAACAGAAGTGGAACTCTGCAGTCCCACGGGTGGGGCTTGTTACAGACCAGGGTTAGGTGGGAGGGGCCAAGAGTGAGCCCGCTGTGCTCCGCGCTGGCGGTGAGAGCTCCACCAGCCTCTCGGGAAGCGCAGCACAGGGCGGGGCCTAGGCACTGAGTGTGCACCTGGTTTTTAGGAACACCTGAAGATTCCTTAGCGTTGATCAAAAATCTTTAAATAAAAGTTTTACAGTCAACTGTTGTGATCAGTGTTAGAGGAAAGGAGCAGCGCACACTTTCTGCAGTAAAATTTGAAAGCACTTGAAAGAGCACGTGCTCTTAACTGAAAGGGGCTTGTGCCACGGCTGTTCCCGCATGGCTATGTGAATGGGTCCCAGTACTCGTGTGCATCACTAATCGGGTTATTTGTACAGCGCTGGAGCTACCAGTGCTGAGTATATGCTTCGTGAAGTGCCTTAAAAACATTATCACGGGGCCCTAAAATGAAAAGGTGTTTATAGAAGAACACAAAAACAGACAGCTAGAGTTAAGTTTCATGTTACCAAAGCAAATGTATGTCACCAGAAGAAATACTGCAACTCACACTTTCCTATGAAATAAGAGTGCCTGTAAAAAAATGGGAAAGAACAGAATCTCTAAAAAAGGAAAATACCTCGCCAAGTAGATGCAGCTAAAGCACTGCTTGTCACATACCACGCATGTGGCTGAGGGGAAGAAAGCTCCAGAAGATAGGAAAGAAGTTTTGGGGTAGAGCCGTAGCCCAGTGGTGCAGTACTTATTTGCCTAACGTGTGAGGTCCTGGATCCACAGCATTGCAAAAGAAAAAAGAAAAAAGGACACAACAAAGTAGTGGATGTGACTGGTTGATGTGTTACACACAATTTCTGTTACGATGTCAGAGGCCAATTTGTCATAAAACTCCTACCCGCCGCAAGTACTGGGGATTGGATCCATGGCCTTCCACTGAGCTGTTTCCCCAGCACCCCCTGCCGGCTGCCCTTCCTCCCAGCCTCTCCTCCTCCTGGCCTCCCTTCTTCACTTCCTTTCTTGCTTTCTTTTAAGACAGGGTCTTGCTAAATCATTGACTTGCCCAGGGTAGACTCAAACTTGCCATCCTCTTGCCTCAGCCTCCCAAAGGGCAGGGATTATAGGCCTGCAGCATCTTTCTGCCTTTTGAGCAAAGATGCTTAATGCCTAAAAGTATTTGATTTAGTTGAGGGAAAAAATGAAGCTAAGGTAAAAAGGGAAGTGCACAAAATGTGCAGAATGCTTGTTTGAAAGGAAATTCCTCCAGCTGAGTACTGTTTGAGAAAATGGTTCATAGAGAGGAAAGACAGGATCGCTGACAATTTTGATCCAAAAAGGGCTCAGAAGCTGGGTGTGGGAATGCACACCAGTAATCCCAGCAACTCGGAAGACTGAGGCAGAAGGATCACAAGTTTGACATCAGCCTGGCAAATGAGTGAGATCCTGTCTAAAAATTAAAAAATACAAGAAAGGGAGTGATAGGTACGTAGCTCAGTGGTACGGCATCCCTGGGTTCTGTCCTCAGCGCCACACTCACAACTCAGAAGAGAGGCACTTCCAACCGGAGGCATGCAGCACCAGTCAGTTCACCTTTCCCCACATTTTACAGATATAGAGGATCTCTCTCCTTTCCTTCTCTTTTTCTTTCTATCTATCTCTTTCTCTCTACCTCTCTCTCTTTCTTTCTTTCCTTCCTTCTTTCTTTTGAGACAGGGTCTTTCTATGTAGCTCAGGCTGGCCTTGAGCTTACTGTGCTGTGTAGCCCAGCCTGGCCTCAAACTCTCAGAGATCCTTCTGCCTCAGCCTCCCAAGTTCTGGGATTATAGGCATGTACTATCATAAAATATAATTTTTAAATCTATGCTGTAAGCCTAAAAGAAGCTATGAATGGAAGCTGAGTGTGGTGGTGCATGCTTATAATCCCCAGTACTTGGGAGGCTGAAGCAGGAGGATCACCCTGAGTTTGAGGCCAGCCTGGGCTTACAGAGTGAGTTTAAAGCCAGCTTGAACTACATAGTGATACCCGAACTCAAAAACAAAACAAAACAAAACAAAAACTATAAATGATCTGAAAATGAAATTAAACAATTCCATTTATAATAGCATCTCAAAGATTAATATGGTTAGGAATACATTTAACCAAAGAAGTACAAGTCTTGTATACTTTTTTGAAAATTATAA